TATTTTTATCATCAGAATTCATAACATTCTGAAATAACACCTTTGATCTCACAGTTCTCTTCTGGTTACCACAGCATTTTCCATTCCTCTGCTCCCCTTACAGCAAAACTCCTGAAAATAAGTGGTGTTTATTACTTGTCTCCAGTTCCTCCCCTCCTATTTTCCCTTGAACCCACTGCTTCTAGACTTTGCCCCCAACACACCACCAAACAGCTCTTGTCAAAGCACTAGTGACCCTGCTGCTGCCAAGTGCCTTGGCCATTTCTCAGTCCTCATCATCTGACCTTTCAGCAGCTTTGGACTTGACCCTCCTTCTTAAAGCACTTTCTCCACTTGGATGGAATTCTCTCCATTTCTCTCTCTCTCTCTGTGTCTCTATCTCCCTTTCTTCTCCGCCTCCCTCATTGACTATCTCTCCCCCAACCTCTACAAGCTGGGACCCCACTGTTCAGTGTTCAGTCCTTTTCTCTATGTTGGCTCTCCAAGTGACTATAACCAGTCACAACTTTAAATTCTCTAACTCCCAAATTTATACTTCTGCCATGTTCCAGAAGTACTCTCAGAGAATCAAACCTGCTCTACCCACCATCTTCCCCCATATATATAAATGTCAACCCCCTCCTTCTAGTTGGTCAGGCAAAAGGCTTTGCAGTTTTCCTTGTCGTCCCTCTCTCTCACACCTCACATCCAATCCAGCAGCAAATACTGACGACTCTACTTTCTAAATATATCCTCAATCTGACTATCTCTCATCACTTCCATTGATGTCACCTGGGCTCCCTCCATAGTCACCTCCCATCTGGATGAATTCTGGCACCTGGATGGAGCCTTCTAGCAGGTCTTCCTATTTTAGCCTTGCCCCCTCAGACGTCTATGGCAACCAGAGTGACTCTAGGAAGATGGAAGTCAGATCATGTCACTACTCTGCTCAGAACTTTCCAATAGGCCCCACGACACCCTGAGTGAACAGCAGAGTCCTCACCTGGCCTGGCTCCTCATTGCCCCCCTTGACCGCGGGTCCTATCTCTCTCCCCTCCCGCTCCAGCCACAACAGCCTCCTTGAGAATGCCAGACGTGTCCAATCTCAAGGGCTTTTAATTTATTGTTTTATCTTGGAATGGAATGTGCTCCTTCCAAATATCCACATGCTCTTCTCCCTCACCTCCACCAGGTCTTCACTCAAATGTCGCTTTCTCAGGGAGGCCTTCCTTGAGCTCACTAGCTATGCAGCCCTCTCCCCAGTGCCCCAAATCTTTCTCTGCTTTTTCTTTTTCTCCTTAGCAACACCACCCAACAGCTCTTTTATCTTGTGTTAGCTGTCTCCCTTCACTAAAATATAAGCTCCTTCAGGGCCAGAAAGTTTATCTGCTTTGTTCACTGCTGGATCGCAGGACCCACAACAGTGCCCAGAACGTAACAAGAATTCAGTGAACAGCTGTAATTTTGATAAACATTCCCTGGAGGTTTTGGTGGTTAGATAATCTATTTTAATCCACTGTATATTGGGCAACTCACATCATTTAATGTATGGTACCCCATACTGACTTGGGTTTTTAACTGGATGGAGAGAAGCAGCCCAAAGAGTTCAAGAAGTTCATTAGCCACTAACATGAGGGACTGTTCCATCAAAGCTGCTACTGGCTCATCATGGTATCCTGGCCACACTGCATTCATCACATCCAGTAACAGCTTGAAAATGTGGACTGAAAGTCCAGGTCCTCTAGCTTGGATTATTTCTGATGTTGGAAGACTGTAGAGGAGGGGGCATCTTCCTGATTATTCAGTACACCCATGGAGGGCCTATGCTTTGTTAAGGTTGATTCTGAGATGCCCTGGCCAGAAATCTTGGACTCTCCCATCACTGCCAAATGGCACAACCCTTGGTGATGTCATTTACACTGTGGTCGATATGCATGGAGCAGTGCACAGGCGGGGCAGCTGTGTGCAGCCACCCTGCCACTCTATAGTACTCTACAAGAGCGAGGACTCAAAATGCCTCCCAGTTCCCCATATCTCACCCGGCTCATGCTGAAACAGTCCCAGATGTGCAATAGCAGTTTGCCATGTACAGACAGACATCTGTGTCTGAGCGTGGGTCCACACTTTTTGCAGATGGGTGGAAAGTTTTGTAATAAATAGGAACTTCACCCCAGCTATCACCATTGAGCCTCACTTGCCTAAAACAAATGATGGCACAGACTTTGAAGGAGATCCTTGATCCTTTGACCTCTGAGGCCCTCAAGCCTCCCCTTCCCTGCTCAATTCATCCCTCCAGGGTCAAAGGTAGGAGCTTCCTGCTCACGGTCTCTAGATGCCCCCCCCAGGTTCTGTGCATACTTGAAACTCACAAGAGCTAGATGGACCAGGTCCAACACCTACTGGTTCTTGACCTGGTTCCTCTAGAGCCTTTCAGATTTTATTTCTTTAAGCTTCACCTCATGAAGACTTTGGGCCTCTACAAATGCTAAAGTGGGACCACACTGTTCTCTGAATATCCCAGAAAAGCTGCGGGAAAGGAGCACTCCTAGTATTTAAAGTGCACATCAACTTTTTGCATCCATCTGATTGGCAAAACTGGCAAAAATTGGCCAAAATTGCAGCATAGCAAATGTGGAGCAACTGGGACTCCCATATACAGCTGGTGGGAGTGATAATAGATGCAACCACTTTGGGCAGCAATTCAGCCAACATCTAGTAAAACTGAAGACATACATACCCTTTGACACATCAATTCTATTGCAAAACATATACACCCTAGAGAAACGTGTACTCATGAACATCTGTGTCATATGTTTACTAGCATTAGTTGCAATGGTGAGAATTGAAAACATTCATTACAGTGGAATACAATACAGTCATGAAAATGGATACATGTAACTCCATTACATGTATCAATATAGCTAAAATCTCAAAAAAGACTATTTAGCAAAAATAAAAGCAAGCTGCAGAAGGTTGTATATAATGCATTTTATATAAAAATTTAAAGTATGCCCATATGTTATATTTTGTTTAAGGATACACATATATATATATATTACAAAATTTTAAAAATGAATTAGTAGACTAAACCCCAAATTCAAGATTGTGGTTATTTTAGGGAAAGGGAAATGAATGGGAAGAGAATGCATATTTGCTATAGTTGCTGTATGGTTGCTAAGTTGTGTCTGTCTGACGCTTTTGCAATCCCATGGACAGCTGCCCACCAGGGGGCTTCCCAGGCAAGAATACTGGAGTGGGTTGCTATTTCCTTCTCCAGGGGCACTTTTATGGCATCTGTAATGTTTCATTTAATATGTTTATTATATTATTATATGTTTGTTTATATGTCTGAGATGTTTCACTTAAAAAGATGTTTTAAAGAGTGCTAAATCAGTGAATCAGAAGGGAACAGTATTGTATGTATTGAGGCTGGTAGCTAATCTTATGAATCGGTTCCACTGGCTTTCGAAGACCTGTATGAATCTCCACATTTATGATCGTCTCCAGAGTATATAATTTTCTCATAAAATTCAACAAAGTATAACGGAAAGTCTCAAGTGAACACAGTAGACTGATCACGATTCTAGAAATACAGTTGAATTCATTCATAAAAACCACTGACTTTCTTCTCACGGCTGTTTTCCCCCAAAGAACCCAGGTTTGCATTTTTCTCTTCTTTGTCAGACATCACATGTTCACAACAACATACCCCAGCCAGGTGGCTCCAGAGTCACATTCATGCCTCAGGAGATTCACTAAGTGCTTCATAGAGCAGACCTCTGTGCTCGTTCACACAGAAATCTCAGATGTTACATCCAAGAATGCCGAGGGCCAATCATTCCTGTCTGATGAATATGGAAGGCTGTGTGTCCTGCACCTTGTTACCCACCCCCAAACATCAGCGGTTTGGAGCTGCAGAGCAGGAGAACTGGGAGGGAATGGGGCTCTCAAACTCCACTAGATCTGGGTTCTTCTCCCTGTCATTTGTACGGACCTCCTGTGTAATCATTCGTGTGTGTGTGTGTGTGTGTGTGTGTGTGTGTGTGTGTGTTTACTCAAACACATGTGTGAGACAGCACTATTACGGGACAAAGTCAAGGCACAGGACTGGACACGGTCCGGTCTGCAGGCACAGGGCCAGAGCCCTGCCAGGCCAGACTGAAGCTTCACCAGGCCCCTGATATTGCTACTGATCAGCTGGCATTTGGAACTGAACTTTCTAGCCTTCCCACCAGGGCAACTAATATACTTCTTGCCTAGGGTTACCTTGAAGGGCATGCCAACCTGCATTTGAAATTCTCTTATTCCTCAGTGGACCGGTGCATGCCAGCTGTGCCTAGTGGTCTGAGGAGCAACAGAGAGACAGGGCCGCCTGGTGGGCAGACCATGCTTAGGAAATTGGGTGTCCACCTTCAGAACATTTATGCCCCTGAGGCAGCCCTGGGAGCCATGCACCATGATCCTGCTCTTCCCTCACTGGGCTATCGGGAGGAATAAATGAGAGAGACGTGGCTGGCTTCAGTAAGGGTAAAATCATGATTCATGCGGTATTTTACCTTTAATAAAATAGTAACCCCATTCTCCTGATTTGGGTACAAGCTGGGATTCCCAGGGAGCTTTCTTCTCTTAAGCATCTTCTTGGTAACTACTGTCACAGATTCACTCAATGAACCCCCACCCCCACCCCCACAGTCTGGCCAAACCTGACTTTCCCCTCTGGCCTTAAGCATGTCCAGTGTCTTTCCACACTCGTGCATATAGTTCCACTGAAATCCTATCTGCTCCCCGAGGCTGTTTCAGATGTCACCTTCTCCCTGAAGCTTCGGATTTCACCCATACTGAGGCGCCATCTCTCTCCTTGGAGCCGTGCATGCCGGGCCCGTGCTCCCTTCCCTGGTGCCTCCGTCCAGCAACCGACACAAAGCCCGCCACCCAGCAGGCCCTCAGCGAGTGTTACACTGCATGGAACAGATGAGGCCCAGCAGAGCGGTCCATGTTCCCCAGGAGCCTGCGACCCTTACCTTGGGAGTGAACATGTGTAGGATGCCGTCGATGGCCCCCCGCAGCAGCAGCCCCCGGACCAGGAAGCAGGCCAGCACCACGTAGGGGAAGAGGGAGCTGAAGTACATCACCTGCAGAGAGAACAGGGACCCACTGTGGGGCACAGCCTCTCCTGCAGCTGGCACCCCCCTCTCTGCTCCCAGCTGGGGTGCACGAGCCGCCTCTGATGGCAGTAGAAAAGCAGAGCCCCAGGACCCCCCGGGCATGCTGCCAAACCCACTGCATGTCTGGCGCTGAGCCACGGCAGAAGCAGGCACACAGACAGGCTGGAGTCAGCGTGGCTGTGCCTGAGGCTTGTCTTTTCCTTTCAAGGGTTGGGGGGGCTGGGCCCGCAGCCTCCCCACCCCCAAGGACTGCCACTGGGGTGAGGAGCCCTTTGCTCTTCCCTCTTCATTTTTTTAATGTCTTCATGCCAGCTTTTCTGTCCCTGACTCCAGGGGACTCCCTAAGGATCTCCCCTGTCCTTGGAGCTCCTCTGACAGAAAGCATCCAGGAGGGTACAGGCACGGCTCCCAAACAAAAGCATCAGAAGGTCCTGCCTCTTGTGATTATAAAGTATATGTTATTTTCTAGCACATGCATTTCTTGAACATTTCTATATCCCCATGTGCCTGGCACAGAGCCACCCACAAAAGAGATGCTTACAAAGTTTACTGTGCTGAAAGAAACCAAGAGGGCTGTTTGGGGAGGATGGTGTAAAGGTTAAAAGAACGCATCTCCAGAGTTAGACCACCTGAGTTCTGATCCCAGTTCTATCATTTTCCAACCATGTGACCTTGAGCTATTTATTTAACCTTGGGGTGCCTCCATTTCTTCATCTATAAAATGGGTATAATGATTCCTAACTCCAAAGGTTGCTGTGGTCCAAATGCACTCATAAATGTGGCAGTGTGTGATCAGTGACATGAAGTGCTAGCTACTAGTCTGGCCTTTGGAGAGAAAAGAGGCGGTGGCTGAGATAACATTACCTTTCCAGGGCTTAGCTTCCCCGCTCATCATATCCACCGAAGAACCTGAAGCCTTAGACAGACAAATAAGGTTCTAGTTTGAGCCCTGGGGCTGACTAGCTGGCTGTCTGATCATGGGTGAGATTTTTTTCCCTTTTCCAAGCCTCAGTTTCCTCATTTGTAAAATGGGTAGGTTGAGCTATAGGATTTCTAACATCTTTTCCAGCCCTGGAAGTCCATGAATATTGATACATGACAAATAAGAAAGGGTCCTTATTTGAAGGGAAAATGACCTTCTGGGAGAAGGTGTGTGGGGTTATGCTGGTCTGCATCCTCAGAGGCTCTCAAAGTCCCCTTCACTCAGGGCACCCACCTATTCACAGAGCCCATTAGTTAGATATACAGTGAACAGTTAGTTTTCACCAAAAATTGCTGAGTAGGCTTTTCTAGGATTTTTGCTAGGGAAGCTGAGGGGCAAGGGTCTAGCCAAACATTCTAGTTCAATACTCCTGTTTTTTTTTTCCTTAAAGTTTGCGAGCAGTCCTGAGTTATCTGAGCATGAAGGCAGCTGGGGTCATGGCAATGATCTTCCACAAACCCACCGTGGTGGGCTGTCCACAGGGACCAGTACTACAGCAGTGACACTCCCATCTCGGACCTTTCACGGGCGACCCAGAGTTCTCCGCCCCTGCATTCCACGCTTTTTTGCAGCACCCCCTCCCCAAGTAAGTGTGGGTGCCCTGGCCCCCTGGCCACTCACCTTCCCCGAGGACTGGATGCCCTTGACGACAGCCATGCCCACGATGCTCCAGGCCACGAGGAGGCAGAGAGTCATCTTCCAGTTGAGGCCCCCGCTCTCTGAGATGGAGTTGGAGATGTCCAAGGCCTCTCGGTACCAGAAGTAGGTAGTGGCTGAGCTCTTCTCACACTCTGCCTCCACCACTGAAATGGCAGCAAAGGCCACAAGGGGCCTGTGGGACCACCTCCTCGGCTGGACCCCAATCCAGCGCAGCTGAGCATGGTAGCAGGAAGGGATTGTATTGTTCTGGGCTAGCCAGGATCTGGCAGATCCTGAGGACTCCTGGGCTCCTGAGGGGCCTGGGAGGCTTCAGGACACACTGATCTAACTGAACTCCCACTCATGCCATCCCCCTGCCCATGTCTATCAATGGAGAGCCGGAAGCATTAGGCAGAACTGGCCTCAAGTTCCTTGGGAAAGGTCCTGACCTAGGAGCCAGACACCTGGGTTCTCATCCTAGATCCTTAGCGAAATCAGTGGTGTGACCATGGGAAAGTTGTTTCTGAGCCTCAGTTTACCCATTTATGAGGTGGCATAAATGGCCCAGCCCTTTATAGGACTGGCATGTAAATATAGATTGTTTCCAGACAGAATAGTGCTAGAGTAACACAGGGTAGTTAACAATAACTAAACAAAACTCACAATTTCCAGAGTTACTCCTACACTCACTATTTCATTCAACCCCTATAAGAACTCTGTGGGACAGGCTGGCAAGAGATCATCATAAGGGGACATGAGGGGACTTCCATGGTGGTCTAATGGTCAAGACTCCATGCTTCCAATGCAGGGGGGAAGGGTTCAATCCCTGGGTGGGGAAACAGACCCCACATGCTGCACGGCCAAAAGAAAAAGAAAGTGGGAGAGATGAGGATCAGAGAGGGTAGGTGGTTTATCCAAGGTGGCACAGCAAGTCAACGAAATCCCAAAATCTGCAGGGAAGGAATGGAGACTCAGATGTAGAAAATGGATTTGTGGACACAGTCGGGGAAGGAGCGAGTGGGATGAATGGAGAAAGTAGCATCAACAGCCTAAGCCTCCCCTCTTAGGCTCTGCGGATTCCTTCCTGGGACAGAGCTAGCTGGCATCCCCAGGTGGGTTCCTCAGAAGAACCATACTTGCCTGCCACGGTCCCATTCCTGGAGACAGGGCACTCACTCCAGGGCAGTGGGTACTGGAAAGACTTGAAGAAGTAGAAGACGCTCCACCCGATGATCACATTATAGTACAGCCCCACAAAGAGGCAGACCTGCAGACGGGGTCCACGGGCATCACAGAGGCTGCAGGCAGCTCCGCCCCTTCCCCTCCCCATGCACAGCCCTGAAGGAGGACGAGGAGAGCCGGCCGGCGGCCACAGAGGGCCTGCTCCCAATCCTCCGCTCATCTGTTATTCGGGGAATCCACAAAGGAATGCTTCAGATATTAAAGTTCTCTCCTTTAAGCAACAAAGTCTTAAAACGTTAATCCTTTCCAGTTTGAAATTCCTCTAAGATGCTTGAAGCACTTCCCCATCATTTCCTGATGACTCAGGATTATAATTGCAGAACTGCCCTATGGGGCTATGGAGGCATGCCCAGTTATCGCTGCCACAGTAAATGGCCCCAGACCACTGTGCTTATTGAGGTTTTGTAGATGCTTCTTATTGGCTCCCCGTGTCCTCCCTTCTCTCAGGATGCTGCTTTCTCTTTGGTACTGTCAGAAGCCTGCCTCTAGAAAGACACGACTTCTCATTTTTTGGAACATGATAACCAACCTTGATAGAACTGTATTTAAAACAGAAGCACATGGATTCTGACTGAGGGTCAAAGGGGTTTCCTTTGAAAGCAATGCTTCTACATGTAGAGATTTTCTGCATCCACTTGGGGTGCAGAGACCACTGCCTATAGCCAGAGACCCCCTCTCTCTCCAGGGGCCTGGCTATCTGATGTATGTGACACTGCTGGGCAGTGTGAGGGCTGAGAGACCCTGGCTTCGTCAATTTTGTCTGAGCCCTGGTATGCATGAGCAGACACTCCTATAGCATACCTTACATGTGTGGGAATATAGCGGCAGAGATACCCACTGCCTTTACTGGAATGCTTACAGTCCGAGGAGGAGACCCCACTCACACTCATGCACATACACACGGCCAGCCCCAGCGGAGGGTGCTGTATTCGGTCGTGTCAACCTGTGCAGAGGTGATCCTTCCCAGTCTCTGCCTGAGGCAGGTTTGGGCTGGCCCTGTTGCCAGGCCAGACAGATCCTTCCAGAGGCAGATTCCAGTTTTTATCCCTGGTGTAAGCATGGTACCTGCAGGCTTTGCTCTTAAGGGAGGCTCGGTTTCCCCACCTGGAGAGCTAAGCCGGGCCTCATCTGCAGCCCCATGGATCAGCCTGGAGCCCTCATGGAGCGTTCCCATCCAGGCCAGTGGGGTCTCCCCATCTCCCACTGTTCCAAAGCCACACCCCTCCTGGGTCAGCCACAGGCCCCTGAGGCCTTCTTCAGCTCTGCTCATGCGCACAGCAAACTGGAAAGGAGACACCATACCCCAAGGCTGCCTTTTCTCACTTACCCAAATCAAATACCCTCTAACCCAGGAGAAAGGACGGGCCTCCCTCACAGAGTGCTGATAGGCTGGTAAGCAGAGGGGGTATCTGGGATGGTTCACGTGTCCCCAGAGAACTCTGGCTGAGATGTCCCAGGCCTTTCCTCCTTCATAATAATCCCAAATATTACATCATTCAGGTAGTGGTGCCAACTTCCAGTTTAGAAAGTATGTGGTCCTGAGACACCAGGTGGATGTAGTACTCAGGATGAGGGTCTCCCCCACTGCCCTTCACCCCTCCCAGGACTCTGGGCTGTAAGCCCTGTGCCCCCAAAGCAGCCCCTCTGCCTCCCGGCCTGTGCCCACCACCAGCCCCCAACTCACTATGCAGCTGGAGAAGCCGATGCCGCCCAGGCGGGGGCACACGTAGTGCCACACGCCGATGCTGCCGCGGCGGATCCTCTGGCCCACGGCCAGCTCCAGGAAGAAGAGCGGGATCCCAATGATGATCAGCAGCACCAGGTAGGGCACCAGGTAGGCACCTGGGGAGGAGGGAGGGATGTGGGAGGGCGTCTGGAGCACGGCAGCCAGGTCAGGGAGGGGTGGCAGCCAGGTCCTACAGCCTCAGCCACATCTCCAATCATCCTCGAACTGTCCCAGGCCCTGGGCTCCTCCAGGAACGCTCTGGCTTACACATGCAACCTATCACACACTGGCTGCCCAGACCTCCTTCTCCCCCTTGGCTCCACTGACCCAAAACACTAAGGGAGGAGCCAGATGGATGTCAACGCCTGATATCCACAAGGCTGGACTCAGAGGCAGACACCCCTTCCTCCTTACGCATTCTGTGGACACCGGTTCACTCCCGCTCCCCCCCACAGAGAAGCAGCCCCCACTCACTGGCCCCTCAGAGGCACAGACCCTGGGGCACCGTCCTCCCCAAGTCTGGGGGACCAGATGCTGACACAGCAGACTGGACAGCTCCAGGGAAGCAAAGCTTGGAAGCTCTCCAGGGACACAGGGTCTGACAAGCATCGCCATTAATCTACAGCTAATTGGGAGGAATGGAAGAGAAATTAGCAGTTTAGGAAAGCATAGCCAGGAGGATCATAAAGGATAGAATGGATCTCGCTAAAGATTCCAGACAATAAATTTAGCTCGCTGTCCCAGGTCTCACTGCAGACACAATCTCGATTCCAAGTGACAGGGCATTTAGCAGAGGAATTAAAACCATGTCTGGACACAGACAATTGACCCCAGTGGAGAGCTGTGCCAACAACCCAGTCCTGTGAGCGGTGCTATTGGCACAGCCCTGCCTGTCTGTTAAAGATGTCTCCAGTGCCCAACATCCCCAGACAATCCCCTGCAAGCTGGGAGCCTCCAGAAGACCCCCCAGCCACACTGCTCTGTTCCCCATAATGCACCATCCCAATATGTGTAATAAACCCAGGAGTCAGGCACCTCTGGGGCCCATGACTCGGCACTTGGCAACAGCTCATCGTTAGCTATTCTACACCAGGGTGTGCAGTGGGGCTATCTGGGCCTCAGAAGGCACAGACAGTATCCCAGGAGAGCTGGTGGGACCCTGGGGTTCACCTGAGCACTGTTAGCATGTGCACACACATCACACACAATCAACTGAGCATATACATGCTGAGGGAGGGGCGTGGGTCCAATGGAGCTAGTCAGAAAAGGTGCCCAGGGGAGCAACCCCCCGCAACTTATATAAGAGCATCTAATTCATGCAACACACATGTGCACATGGTCACATGAACGCATCAATTTAACTTGTCACTAACGAGCCTCTGTATCATATTATAAAAGGAGGGGGGCCTGAAGGACCCCTGGTTCTGTCTTTTAACCCAGCTCTGTCTCGTGGTCTCCAGCTCTGGGAAACGAAAGAGGAGAGGAGTGATCTGAAGGACAACACAGGGACACAGGCTCCTTGGTTTTGTATTTCACCCACGAGTCCTCAGGTTGGGGAAGATGTGCAGGGAGACAGGTCTTAAGGGTCAGAGAAGTAGGACAGCATCTTCTGTGGATGCTTTTCTCCTTTTCCCAAGGAACTAAGGAGAGTTTCCAGGTAATTGCTGTCCAAAGACAGGTCCTGCTGCAAAGACTTGGCCCCCACCAGCCACCACTCAGGCCCCAGGACTCTGACTGACTGGAAGTTTCTTCAACAAACTGAGGTCTAGCTAACAGGGCTCAGGGGACTGCAGGCTGCATGAGCAGCATTCTGCCTGGGTTCATCACAGGTGCTTTTTCATATCAATTCTTATTAAAATCATTTGGACATACACCTCCTCTACCTTAGAAAATACAACTGGGGACATATCAGAATTTACTTTGATGGTTCAGTGGCTTTGGGGGCCTCAGGTCATCAGTCTAAACAGCTGGAAGCACTGTTCAGGGAGTTATAAAATTTAGCAGAACATGGCTACAGAGAGTTAGATTCTGGGATCTCTGAGGCTTCCTGGATCTCTAGCATGTCTCCCTATTAATAGCAAACCCCAAGGTGGGCTTTGAAAGACCACCTTGATCTCAGCCTGTTGAGATGCATGCTGAGTGGGGGTTGAGATCCAGACCCTTAAGTCAGACCTTCTGGGCCCAAGTCCTGGTTCCACCGCTTACTGTCTCTGTGACTTTGGGCAAATTGCTTGATCCCTCTGTGCCACTGTTTTCTTATCTATGTAAAGAGGATGAAAATATTAAGTAGAATCATATGAAACTGCTGATATTTGATCTTTTTTACTTAAGAAAATGCCCAGTTCATACACTTCAACTGTACATCTATTGCACGGGGCTTCCATGAGGATGAAATGAGTGACTTACCCAGAGTAAGCACTTGATGACCATTTGCCTACTTCTGATAAAAATAAAGAGGAAAACAAGCAAACTGCAAGGATGAAGAATAAAGAAACTGTCAACATCTGGTGGAGCTAGGTGGAGTTTTGGAGTTTCCATCCAAAATTAAGCAATTCTCACTGGATCACTCAGGGCTCAAAACCAGTTTTGACTCTCAGACCAACCATCTCCTGTGACAATCTGCCTCCTTCCAAAACACATTTAAGATGACTAAAATGTTTAAGATGACTATAAAAACCAGTAAAATGTAGGAGTTAAAGGTAGAGATAAAGAGGGATTCCAGGAATTAGAAAGGATGGGAAATGAAGGTAGGAGCATGGAATGGGGAGTATCAGAGTCCTCAGACCTGATAATGCTTTTCTTTTGGGGGTTGTTCGTGATGTCTAGTGCCATGGCAACGGTCTGGTGACACTGGGAACTAAGAGACTTTGGCAAGAATGCTCCCTGGGGGCAGGGGGGTGGTGGAATGTGTGGCGGGGAGAAGGACTCTGTGATTCAGCACTGAGTGCTCAGGCAGACTGATTATCTCAGCCATGAAGGATACGGTTGGAGGCTGCCAGCCGGAGCCCCTCATGCAATGTGCCCTCTGAAGTCATTTTGGGTACTCTGAGCTTTTAACATCTCACAGCACTTGAGGGAATCACACACTTCCCTTTGTATCTTTGCTTTGTGCAGGCCTTATATCAACACAGTGACTTGGGCCTAGCCATTGCCATATAGGGGCTTTCCTGGTAGCTCAGTTGGTAAAGAATCTGTGTGCAATGCAGGAGACTCTGGTTTGATTCTTGGATCAGGAAGATCCCCTGGAGAAGGGATAGGCTACCCACTGCAGTATTCTTGGGCTTCCCTGGTGGCTCAGATCGGAAAGAATTCTCCTGCAATGTGGGAGACCTTGGTTCAATCCCTGGGTTGGGAAGATCCCCTGGAGGAGGGCAGGGCAACCCACTCCAGTGTTCTTGCCTGGAAAATCCCCATGGACAGAGGAGCCTGGTGGGCTACAGTCTATGGTGTCGCAAAGATCTGGACACAACTGAGCAACTAAGCACAGCACATGGCATGCCACACAGATTGAAAGCTCTGATCGGCAGCTGTTTATTGGGTGAGTAAAAATAAAGATCTTCAAAGCAAGGAGCGTACACAGGGAAGAGACTGTGCCCTGGTGGCAAGATGGAGGTTTCTGGCCCTAAGTCAGGTGGGTATTCTCACTCCCTGCCCTTCAACAGAACCGGCAAAGGAGGAGAAGTCTCCAGCCAGGCTCTGACTTCTGGACCAGGGAGAGCATCCCAGAGGGGAGGGAGGGACTCTGAATAGGGCTGCACCTCTGCGGGAGCCCACAGGGCAGATCCATGAGGCAGGGAGGGAAGGGACAGGGCTAAAAAGCCTGTAGAGCTGGGGCCACACCTTCAGGCTGGAGCGTGGCAGTCCCAGGGCACAGGGACCCAGGGGCAAGAAAGTTCCTTTGCTGGCTCCATCACTTTCCCATGACCAGAGGTCTGAGCTTGGAATTGTCAAAGTCCACGGGGTATTTTTTTTGCTTATTTTTGGTTCATTTTCCCCTGGTTTCAAAGCAAATTGCCTTTGGAACATTCCAGGCTACCTCAGAGGTGCTAGGGGATAAGGCCTGGGGGCTTCAACCCACCCCAGGAGCTAGAATAGTGAGTATAAATGGTCTGATACCAGGGGCAAGATCCTCTGGGGGGAATGAATCCCCCTCTGGAGGGGCAGCACGAGGGCCCCTCCAGCCTGCGAGGCAGCAGGTGTAGTGATTAAGGGTTCAGGCTCTGGGGCAAAGCTGTCCAGGTTTGAATCCTGACTTTATCACCAGCTGTGTGACCTTGAACAAGTGATCTAACCTCTCTGTGCCTCAAGTAACAGCCTCTAATATGAGGATGATAATAACTTTTCCTCACATAGGTTTTTGGGGACAATACGATGGTTGAACCATATGAAATCGGTGCTTTGGCTGTTCCAAGATGCAGTTTCATGCGTTTCAGCCTAATATTCAGGGAGAGCTTATGACAGTGCCTGGCATGTATAAGCATTTAATAATAATGGCCAACAGCTGCCCATTACTGTGTGTCAGATATGTGCTTAGTCGCTTCAGTTGTGTCCAACTCTCTGCAATGCTATAGACTGTAGCCCACCAGGCTCCTCCTGTCATGGGATTCTCCAGGCAAGAATACTGGAGTGAATTGCCATGCCCTCCTCCAGGGGATCCTTCTGATCCAGGAATTGAACTCAGGTCCCTTATGTCTCTTGCATTGGCAGGTGGATTCTTTACCACTAGCACCATCTGGGAAGCCTCATCAGATATAGTGGTAAGCATTCTATTAATAAATATAAAGCTCATTTAATTCTCCCAACCATCCTGTGAGGCAGGAACTACTATTATTCTCATCTTACAGATGCAGGATAGTCAGGCACAGAGAAATGAAGCAACTTGCACAGGGTCCCAGAGCCAACTGGCTCCCCTGAGACTTGAATCCAGGCTGTCCAGGGCCAGAGCCCACATTCTCTCCTCAGGCTTGCAGCCTCTTGAGAGCTGTTAGCCATTCCTGGGGAAGAGTCTCAGTCTCACTCTGGAGTCCTGAGTTCCAGCCTACAAGGGCCCTGGTTCTACCTCATAGACGGGTGTTTCTTTTCTCCCCTCAGCCTAGCCCACATGCAGGGCACTCTGGGACAAGCAGGGCTGCCCCTTACCTCCTCCATTTTTCTGGCACAGGTAAGGGAACCTCCAGATGTTGCCAAGACCCACAGAGAAGCCAATCTGGGCCAGGATGTACTGCAGCTTGCTGTTCCAGGCCGGCCGGTCCTCCGCGTCCAGCTCCTCCTCCGCCGCCTTCTGCTTGCCACCTGCCTCGCCGGCCACGTTCAAGACACTCTGCTTGTAGTCCACGGGCTCCTCCAGGGCCAGCAGGTCGGCCACCGACTCGGTGACGTGCTCATTGCTGTGCTCGCGTTGGGTCACCTTGCTGTTCTTCGGCATTGGGCCCCCCGGGTGGCGCAGCCCTGCTTCCCAGCACGTGGAGAAGGTGGGACTCGGCTGCCGTCAGCTCCTGCTCATCCAGGGACCTCTGAAACCAGAAGAGCAGGAGAGGGTTTGCTGACCAACCAGAGAGGTGGGGAGCCCGAGTGGACACATCCCAATCGACTCCCTGTCACACACTCAGAAGCTGGTCAGGGGCCTTGAACTTCAAGTTTGCCTTCTTCCCCAGTGAGGGCCACTGAGGACCTCAAGGTCTGCACCCTCAGTTTCCCCATGGCCCTTCCCAGCTGAGCATCATCAGAAAGGCAAGCCGGATGGAAGGCGTAACACCATACACCAAACACAAATAAAGGGTCATCCATCACAACACGGCCACCTTTCACCATCATAGATCCTAGAATATTCAAGAACATTTGAAGGCTCCACTGCCTTCCCCTCCTAGGGCAGCACAAGGTGTAGCCAAGTCCCAGCCCTCTTGTGTTCTCTTTAGTCAAACCACCTGGTGGACCCAGAGAAACTGGCACCTTCATTCCAAATGCAGTTGAGGGCCAGTGGCATCAACATGCTTGTCAGTAACACAGACTCTCAGCCCCAGCCCAGACCTACTGGATAATGTATTTCTACAGAAACTCCAAGTGATTCAGAGGGGCATTCATGTTTGCAAAAAAGAAAAAAAAGGCTAACGCTCTTACACGGGGCCCCTGGACACCAGCATTCCCTAGGCAAGAGCACTGACCAGGCTCAGCTAAAGATTCTGGCAGCAGAGACCTAGAGATGCTTGCTCAGTGCCAACAAATCCTGGGTCATCGCTCAGCAGTGACATTATCTGAAGGCCACTGCAGCCAAGAGCCAGTTCTCCATCCTTCTGTGACAGTTTTACAGCAGATAATGTCCGCACAACGCGGGCGGGGGAGGCAAAACTCTCCCCTGCTCCTGCCATTCCCCATCCATCTTTCCCGCTTTCCCTTAAACAAATAGAGCACCAAGGAAACGAGTCTTTTGAAGGATCCCAACACTCTGCTTGTATCAAAGCACCTCCTTGTTAAGGGAAGGTTGGAGGATTTAAAATTAAACCACGTACACCCTGGCCGGCAGTTGCCTTGCATCTTTCTAGGGATGTAAATCATCCTGTTCTGTCATTACTCCACTAAGCGAAGGAGCTGCTTCTGTTCCCCTTGCACGTGCCATCTCAACACTTGGGCAAGAGCTTTATGTGGCAGAAGGGTGCACACCCGCCCCTCCTGCTGGCCTTGACCCAGACCTCCTGGCTGACTCCACCCAACACCTGACCTGAGAGGAGACCTGGCCAGCCAAATCCTATTAAACACATAATGAAGCTAGGAGACCTGGCAGATGGGGACAACTGTCCTTCCTGGTCTGTGGGGTTAGCCAGCCCTTCCCAGGCCATGTTTTGGATCACACAAGCAAGTGACACCTTCTTGTCCTCTTCATCTAAGGGGGACAGTGATTCTTTAGTGACTGTCCCCTTCTACTCTAGGCATAGTCAGGGTCTTGGGACAGAGCCAGACTGCCTGAAAGACCTCAGAATTCCCTATAAGAAACACAGCTCTCGGTAGGAACTCTGTTTCACAGTGGGTCAGCTGACTACTCCATCATGGCCTGGAGGGTGCCCCAAGGTGGGACTGTATGTCTGTGGACCTCCAGCCCTCAGACTCCCCCCAAGCTGTTATGGTGCCTGTGCTACAGAAGCGAATGGTGCCCCTAGGAGCTGTGCCAGGGGGAGGCCTGTGTTCTTGCCTGGGCTGCCAGGAGAAGCCCCTCCCCCTCCCCAGTCATCAGGTCCTGGTCCCCAGGCCCTCAAATGGAGAACAAAACCTAAGGCACACATGATGGCGGCTTGTCCAACTAGTCTGTCATCCCTCAGCTACGTTAGTTTTATAAAAAGCTAGAGCTGGGGAGGAGGGTCAGGTAGGTCCCTCCTGTGAGCAGTCACCAGGGCTCCTGAACTCAGAGCCTCCCTGCAGGTACTCAGCCTGCATCAGGATTAGATCAGAACAATCTGGAATGCATTAGATATGATGTACTGTTCATCTTGTCACAACTGGAGAAAACAGGGATTCCTGCAAGTCAGCAGAATTTACCTTGAGGCTGGCCAACTCGACAACACATTTCCCCATAAATAGATTAGTGAGTGGCAGCTCCGGTCACCAGCACAAGAGGGGGAGGAAGAAATCACCATTGTAAACTGAGCAGGCTCAAGGACAACACTGGCACATTCTAATGAATCCAGAGAAGGGTACCCACAACAGCATCACGGAAACCACAGGCATCAGCTCAATATGAGTTTCTTCCTTCTTCCCAAGACATCACTGATGTGCATGAACATCCTGCACCACAGGATGGGGCCTGGGGTCCTCTGGGCCATCTGCAAAGTGCTGCTGCAAACTTGCAAGCTGAGACACTGGGCCGGGCTGCCATCAGGACTGGAATCTTCTGCACCCATGAATCTGCTCATATTACAGGAGTCCAATGTTCGGAATACTAAAGTTTGAGGGATCCTAGGAACATTCTCATTTTATATATGAGGAAACTGAGGCCCAGAGAGAGGGAAATAATTGCCCAAAGCCACTGAGTGAGAACCAGCAGGGGGTGGAACACAGGAAGAAGACAGTATCTTCTTTGAGGGCTTTGAAGTCAGAAAGGCCTGGATTTGAGAGCTCATTTCATTAATTCATTCATTTACTCACTCATTCCACTGAGTTGACAAATATTTACTGAGTGCCTTCTCCTGGTGGCTTAGACAGCGAAGAATCTACCTGCAATGCAGAAGACCTGAGTTCAAGCCCTGGGTTGAAAAGATCTCCCGGAGAAGGGAATGTCTACCCACTCCAGTATTCTTGCCTGGAAAATTCCATGGACAGGGGAGCCTGGTGGGCTACAGGCTATGGGGTCGCAAAGAGTTGGACACAACTGATCGACAAACACCTTCACTTTCTCTGTAGCAGGTTCTGTTCTAAGTGTGAGGGATACAGCAGCAAACAAAATAATCCAGAGCTTCCTCTTGCGGAGGTTCTATGTCTGGCGGACAGGCCAGACATTCAAAGAAATAAACATACAAAATAACCAGTGGTGATTTCTACTATAATGACAAATAACACGGGATGGAGATTGAGGTGGCTGGCAAGCTGGAGGGCTGCAATGTTACGATCTGGAAAGGCACCCCTGAGGAGGGGACACTGAAGAGGCACTCAGGAAATGTATGTCAAGTGCCTGAGTGAGTGAATGAAGTGCCTGTCCGACTTCAAAGCCCCTGCCCTCCACCCCCCACCTCCCCCACCTCTCACCTCCACCCCTCTACGCCCCCACTCCGCCAACTGTAAAGACATTGGCTGGTGCCCTGAGAGAGGTGGGCAGCCACCTCGCTTGAATTATGCAAGTGTCAGGCCTCTCCTGGGTGAAAAGGTTCTCTCTGATGACAGCTCCTGCCTCCCAGGGAGGGCTGCGTGAGGATTCCATGAGCAGATGTACGCAGAGTGCCTGGCATGGGGCTTGGTGCTAGGAAGGACCCCAAGGGTGGAGGCCGCAATCTGGAATTCTGGTTTTGTTTGTCTTTATTCATTTAAAATGAATTCATTTAAAAATATGTAAGTCCCCCTATTTATATTTCGTTACATAAATGCCCTGTTTCTCCTCAGGAAGAGCCAAAATGAGTTTGCGGGTGGAGTGGGGTAGAGGGCGGAGAGCGTTGTGAAACACCAGCAGTGCAGAGATGTCCTCTTTTGCTAGCGAGACGTAGCAGCACCCTGAAGCTGGCGGGGCAGCACCCTGCGAGGTCCAGGCCCACCCATCTGGCCCCAGGGTCAAAGAGAAGCAGGTAAGGGCCATATGGGGCCAGGCCCCAGGCCTGAAGATCAGCAATGTTATTACTAATTAAAAAAAAAAAGCATGGCCTCACAGTAAAGCCTGGCAATATTATGAATAGAACTATAGCTCATATTTGGAATAGTTTGAAATCATTTAAAAACATGTTTCACACAGTCCATGGGCACAGTGTGAGATGGTGATTCTGCTCCGAAGCCAAACTGCCTGGGTTCGAATCTTGGCTTCGCTCCTCACCAGCCACCAGCTGGCCGGGTTCTTCCCCTCCCTGAGCTGATTTCCTCAGTGCCAGTGAACAGAGCATGACCACCCGGTAACGCCGAGGGGAGGACAGGTTGTACAGGTCTCAGGAGGGGGCCCGACCCCCAGCAAGTGCTCACAGATGTCACCTCTTCTCATCATCTCACTGGCTTCACAGCCCGGCCCGAGAAGTGCAGTGAACAGCTGTGCCCCCAGGCGGGACAGGGCACGGCCAACATCACACACCTGGCAGCACCCAGGTCTCCCCACTCCTGGGCTCTCTCCATGTCTAAAGGGGAGGTAGCAGCAGTGACTTCAAATAACCTGCCCTCTCCACAGCCCTCCAGTTCCCTGAAGCCTGGAGACCCTGTGCCGGAAAAGGTGAGCTTTCAGCCTAGGGCCCGGGAATCCAACGTGTACTCAGCGACCCTGAAGCACGGCCGGGGACAAGCACCAGACTCAGGGAAGATCCAGGCAGGTAGATTCCTCTCTGCCCTGCCTCTGCTGCCCATGGAGTCAGAGGTGATCCAGGCAATGGGAGGCCCATCGGTGCTGGTCTTGCTTGACCAACCACCAGCCAACTGTGCAAAGTGGCACCATCAACCTGACCTCTCTGGACCTTGCTTTCCCTGTGTGTGCAATGGGTAGGTCTGGATGATCTCTGAGGCCCTTTCAGTTCTGCATATATCCAGGGAGTGGTCCTCCTGCACATGCATGTGAGCAAGGTGTGACCTGCCCCGGGCACAGACACTGCAGGTCCTTGGGCTTGTCGGTCAGGCCACCCTCTTCCAGACGAGAGCTCACTGGGGCACTGTGGTGATGCTTTGACCGGCAGCCCTCTGTTCTTGGATTACCCCCTGTAGTAAAAGGGGTGGGTTGTAAAGGTGCTTTCCCAAGAGGCAAATCAGAGGATGCAGTGCCATGGTACACCCCGGAAGGATGCGTCAACTACTTAAAACACAATGCAGAGAGGCTCAAATGCCAAGAAAGCCCTCTGTTGCCAGAT